ACGGAGGGCAGCAGGCCAGAGGAAACAAAAATATAATCTACTCGGGAGAATGTTTTATGTCTTGACGAAAAGAAGGTGTAATCTTTAGTGGTTGGGTTATACACTCTCCACACATCCACTACATCCAAGTCCTTAATGAAGAGATTAAGTGCTTTGGAGGCAGAGTCCTGAGTGCTCGAGACATTTGAATATGATTAATCAATATTACTGTTTCGCGTAGCATTCATGTCTGAACCCACATAGTTATATATATATAGTTGATAGTCACTTAATTTCAATAATTGGGAGGTAACCGTGGGGAAAAAATCTGCTTCAAATACAGCTGGGGCATAAATACTAACGAATGCTATCTTTTTACCCTGAATGGAGGTGCAGCAGTAGGCTAGACGCCCCCCCCCCTCGTCCGTACCAGTTCTTTCAACTGCAACATTAATACCACGTCTCATTAATATCATTGTACCCTTTGAGCGAGTACCATCAGCCGAGGCCACAATGGGTTTGTAAAACCGGTTTTGAACTCTGGAAATATCACTAGGCTTTAGGTGTGTTTCCTGTAGCAGCGCAATATCTATCTTTTTCCTACGTAAGAAATCTAGAATCTTTGACCGTTTGTAGGGAGATTTCATTCCTCTCACATTAAATGATACAACATTTAAGTTCTCTTGCTTGACTGTTTCACTGCACTTCTGCTGTATATTGGTGGTGGAACCCTGAACCCCCACCTCCCTCCCACTTATCCCCTTATCTTGTAACATCTGTGAGTGTCACTTAGCAATGTCAAGCACTGAACACTAACCATCCCCCCCCTTGAACCTGAATATCTCAAAAGATAGGGAAGTACTCACAGGCAGTCAAACCACAGTGACATTACCCCATTCTTTTCCCCCAACAGGGTGATACACAAACTGTCAACTTGCCCACGCCTATAAGGGTGAACATGCGGCTGCTCGCGGCTCTCAAATTAGCTCCGTCTCATCCTGCGGTGCGCTTAAATTCGGCCCGTGGTCTTCATCCATGTTGCCCGTCACCTCCGCCTTCAGAGCCTCCGTCGCCTCTGCTGCTGAGTTAAACGACATCCATCTCCCCTTGAGGTTCACTCTCAGTATCACCGGGTACAGAAGAAAGGAGTCGATCCCTCTCTGTCGCAGCTTAGCGCAGATGCTTTTATATTCCTGCCGCTCCTGTGTTGTACCATGGCTGTTATCAGCAAAGAACTGCAGCCAGGTGCCGTCGGGGAGCGTAGGATTAGCCTTCCTCGCGCCCTCCAGGACTGCCTGCCGGTCGGTGTATCTCAGGAGCCTGAAGATCATGGTGTGTGGTCTCGATGTATTGTTGGAGTTGTTGGAGAAGATTCGGTGTGCTCGGTCGATTTCAATCCGGCCGCCCTGGGTGCTCCCGAGCGTGGGAATCCACTTTGGTAGCATCTTCTGAAGGTAGCCTCTCGGGTCGTCACCCTCCGCACCGGTCGGTAAGTTTACCAGCTGCACATTATTCCTCCGGGATCTGTCTTCCAGATCGTTTAGCTTCTTTCGTAGCTTCGTCATCTCCGTGAGGCATGATTTGGTGTCTTTTTCATTCTTATGCAAGTTAGTCTGGATGCTGTCTATTTTGTTGAAGACAGTGTTGAATTTTTTAGCATGGATGTCAGCTTGCTCTTTTAAAGACCGTAAAATGTCGCCATTCTCTACCATTTGCTTCTGTATCGGTCCCAGAGCTTTTTCCAAGGACTCTTCTAGCTTGTGTGCTACCTTCTCTTGCAAAGCTTTCATCTCGCCAGCTAATGTTAGCTTGATTAGCCTAGCCATATTGTCTGGTGGATCGCTAGCTTGGTTTCTTCTGTTGGTATCTTGCTTCTTGGCAGGAGTTTGATTATTCTTTGAGGCCATGTCTTCCGTTACGTCGTCAACCACCTCAGATTTTTATTAAGACTGTCTTTGAGCCCAAAAAAGCATGAAAAAGGAGGGTTGTATGTCGGTGCTCAGTGCCGTGCAGCCATCTTGCTTCGTGCCTCACCGGAAGTTGTTGCAGTACACTATGTTTAAACGTCAACAGGACCGGCGGATCCCCGGCTCCATCCCTATGCTTAAATCTGATCACATCAGTTACCTGGGCCCCCTTAATGTTTTCTAAGATTTCCTTCTCAGATAAGCCAGCAAACACTCCATATACCACTCCCTTGATTCCTTGCTGGCTTCCTCTAGGGATCAATGCCTCCACCTTGACCACCAGCTTTCCCACACCTCTAGCATCATATACTTTTTACAACAAACTTAACATTCCATTAAACAATATCTTGGCCTGAAATTCTTTGCCTGTCTGACTCTCCAAAGCACTGGTAACTTTTAATGGATTCACTGCTCTAAATCCTGCATCTCCTTGATTAGTTCCATTAACTTTAAACAGCATGACAAACTCATCAGTATTTCCAGTTTTCCTAACCTTATTTCCTTCATCTCCTGACATTTAAGGTCTTTCACTCGATGCCCCCTTAGAGCCCCCCTTTTCCTTCACCACCGTCTGCCACTCACCACCCTCAGCCCCATTCCCTGAAGCCATGAGCCTCTTGAACCCCTCCTTCCAAACCCTAATCTAATTCTAATAATACTAGCCCTACTATTAATAAAAGAAAAAGTGAAAGAAAAAGTGTCTCGAGTTTGTTGTGCGGCTCCGAACTCCCAGGCAACAGGTGGAGAGCACAAGCACGTGTGCCAGCTCCGCTTCACCCTCATTCCTCTGGGTTTCGTCTTCTTTGTCTTCAGTTGATTTGTGTGGCGCAATACTTCAAGGACTATTACTGCCCCTACAGGTCAGACCTTAAAATGACACTTTTTTTCAAATAGATTTTATAGATTTTATTATTGTAGGCTATATTAAACGTTTTGGTATATGTTATATAAAAACCATAATTATGATTAGAAATTTCTGCACGAAATATTTTAATTATCAGTTTTCCTAAACTAAAACAGTCTGAAAAGTTTCTGTTCCACTCTTTGAGGAGAAACTCTCAAGGCTAAGCTTTACTGTAATTATGCAATACAGGATGGCACAATGGAATGCAGTTGTATGCCACTCCACACTACAAACAGAAAATATACAAACATTCAAATATTAAAATTAGTACGAAAAACTGCTTTTTAAGAGGCAGAAACCTAGGACAGACCCTTCGGCTCTAGGTAGGTGGTCGTCTGCCTTGCGTCTTAGTCCCTCCCACAAGGGATGCATGGATAGGCAGGAACGAGAAGGAACGAGGAAATATGTTTTTAGAGAATTTAAACGTCCTTTCTTCTGGGGTCTAGGGCCTTAGACCCCAGAAGAAAGGACATCACTGAAGGGTGAAGTTTCTCCTCATCAGAATAGACGCCGTGTGCATTTACGCACGAGGCACAGCAGCTTTGTTGAACATTGATTTAATGTAACACAACAAATAACATTACATGTTATATTATTTGTGTTATTTATTTTACACCTCCAGAAGTTCCCACACGCAGTCCAGGTTAATGCAGGGAAATTGTTAAGAGTAAAACAGCCCCCCTCCTGATAAATCTTCTATATATACTCTATCTGACAGACTGCGTTTATATTATTTGTTCATTATGTGCACGTGTATGTATTGATATTGTGATTGTAAACTCATTTTTGAATAAGCCAGAATATGATTATGGTGTCTTCTGAACATTGCAAAATATTTATTACGCTAAATGTTTCAGTGAACACTGAAATGATGTAACTTGACTCAGCCTCATGTGACTGAATGGAAATGACAATAAATTATGTAAATGTAAAGTATTTCTTGCTGACAGACTCTACTGTCTCTGACTGTAATAATATCTTGTTAAACGGCTCAACTGCAGCAACCTATCAATAACTGATGAGGGCGCGTCAGACTTCCATGAAGGCTGCTCCTCGGTGCAGAAATAAGCGCGTTGGGACGGCCTACAAGATGGCAGACCAGAACAACTTCCGGTTCAAGCGAGGTTTGAGGATCAAGGAAATGTCAAATAAGAGAAATGGGATGTATCCTATGACTCCTATTCGAGATGGCATGTTGGACTGACAGTGGGCTCTCTGCAACGCCTGTCGCAGAAGAGGTCAGAGGTCCAGACGATGTCGACTGCCTTCAGGTGTTCAAACAGGGCCCTTTGTCTCCCTGCCGTTGTTAGCACAATTCAGAACATGTGGATCCACCTCCAGCCCATATGGGACAGACTGTCCAGAGCACTCCTCTCATTGGTTGTTCAATGAAATGTACCTGGATGTAACACATGCAGTTCTGTACATTTGTAGCCCTCTAACTTATGGCCCAGCTGGCCTAGGCTGCGTTTCATTAGTCGTTCAACGCGCCCTCGTTCACTTGCCCTCGGCACTTGCCCTCGGGGGAATCCCCGCCGCCATCATAAGTGTCGTTCCAATTGTCTGGAAAACTGAAGTGAACTTGGTGAGATGGACCCTCGGAGGGCTGAGGGAGCAAGTGAACAACGATGGTCACTCCGAGGTGGATATCACCCACAATGCATTGCAGTTTATGTCATTGCTGCTATAACGCCGAGTAAGGGCAAGTGTGTTTCATTTAAATCCCCCGCTCCTCCCCGCCCACTTTCCCTCCGCGCTCCAAGTGGCCTCCGTGCGACGTATGCTGTTACGTCATACCAAGGGCTGAGGGGAAGTGAACGAGGGGAAGTGGAACTACTAATGAAACACAGCCCCAGTTTCCAATAGCTGGGCTAAATAAATGAGCTAAACAGCAGGTCCATTGGTGCTTTATAGTGCATAGTTGCTACCAGAGGTGGTCCAAAGGTCTATCTCTTTCAGGGTGCTGAGGCAGAGCCTCGATAGGGTACTCCAATAGCGAAGCCTGTTAAAGGAACATGCACATACTCACAGAACTGGAGTTACACCCAGATAACTACTATTTTTACATTCTGTGTGAAGCCATGCTTCCCTTGTGCATACTGGGCGTTTTTTTCTTCTTCCAGAAATGTAAAGAAAGAGAAACATTGAAATGCAGTTAAGGCACTTTAATATCAGAAATAATCACTTCGGATCAAATATTCTCTCCTGGTACAACCTGATAACCAACCACAAACATTTAAAGCACTTATTTCACACAACAGAAAGAAAATTATACTTTTGATAAGTATTGTGATGAATGAGCTTGTATACTTCTCATGATATAAAAACAACAAAACTGCATCTAGCTCTGGAGTTAAGGCCATTTTACTTATTGATAAAGGGACACAAAAAATGTTTTAACAAAAGAAAAGCGTGATTATTCAATTTAAACGCAACACCAGCTCACTGCAGAGCTATTACAAGTGGAAAGAACAAAGGTACATTACACAAAACCCAAGTAAAAAATTATTGTGTGGGGGGGAGGTACGTTCATTCTGTCCCCATTAATGAATAAAATAGATTCAGAAACTTCCATCCCTCCATCTACTAGTACTTTAACTTCCAGATAGGTATGTAGAAAACCCTGAGTGTGAGGAATTCTCATTTGATGTTAAAAGAAAATCCAAGTAATTTCATCACTTGTGCATCCACAAAGTCATTTGAATGCTGAGACATGTTACTCTGTTAACCCCAAACTGAGCTCACTGAGTGGGAGTAGTGATGAGTAAATAAACTGGCTCTAGCTCCAACTGCCTTCAGATTTATTAAAATCACTTGACATTTTATTATAAGCATACATGTGATCAGACACCCCAGTGGCTTAGGAGTGTAAGGCACATAGCTTATAGAGTTGCATTGTGGTGAAGGTCCTGCAAGGATTTAAAACAGTAATCAGTGTTCAACAACACAGAAACAAAGGACTACTTGATAATATTACAGTATATAAGGCTATGTTATGACCAGTGGTTCCAAATATTTCTAGTTTGTTTCTATGAAATCTTGTTTTGGTAAATGGGTCGAAATACTACAATTCCCATCCGTAGTAGTGGGCAACCAACTAGGCAAACCTTTAATTTCTTTGCTCTTTCTTAAAAAGTTGAATAAATTAATGGTTAATTAGTATGTGTAATATCACAGATTTGGCCTACCATTAGTACTTAAAGGGACCTTTCTTAGGACTTTACAGGACACCTGGGATGCTTGAAATAACTGCTCCCACTTTGCTACTCCATTAATATAATATGCTGGTTGAAGTTCAGCCACACACAAACAACTTAACAGACAAAACAGAGTCTATGACCTGTTTATGGTCCAAAAAGTTAAAAAAAATAAAGATACAGATGGAGATTTGTGTCTTGGACTAATCAATCAATTTAATTAATTACTAATCAATCAATTTAAGAAATGATAGTTTACTTTTCAAAATGCTAATCTAGAAAACATCTTTTGGCACAAGAAAGTTTAGACTGCAAACTGATGATGAATGAATTGCTTGCTGAGTCTTTGTAAAGGCACAGCGTGACACACAGACTTTTGGCTCAAGAGATCAAAAGACAAACCATGGCAAGTAAACATAAATGAGGCATCATTGCCATGAACAGCACCACGCAGGGTGATGGCACTTTGGTGAACTTCCTGTCCTGAAGTCCATCCTTACTGTGAAGCTGGAGGATCCTGGTCACCTAACTCATCAAGAAGCTGCAACAGAGACAAATAGGAAATAAGGCAGCCAATCACAGCAGGTAGAACAAGATAAACAGATATAAATTAGTCTGTCTCCACCTGTATGGGTATCCATGGTACTTTGCTCTGAAAATGGACAGCAGCCAGCTGAAGAACAGCATCACCAGACCAATACCTGCGACACACATAACTGACACACACACACACACACACACACACACACACACACACACACACACACACACACACACACACACACACACACACATACACACACACACACACACACACACACAATCAGTAGTCTGTAGTCACCACAAAACTCAAACATACAGTGCCTGACAGCACCCCATAGGTATTACCATGAATTCTCGAACAAAAGCTGGTATTTAAAAAAACAAACAAAAAAAAAAACCCATGATGCAACTTTTCTACCCAACAGCTTCAAAATAATTTTGATGCTACAGTAAGTTGTAACAAGGTGAAGGGTGCCTCTGTCATTCCCACTCCCGGTTCAGGAAGGATTTTCAGGGAAAAACCAAAGAATGTGACGGTTATGTGCCTTCTCTCTCCGCTCCTCTACACTATCAACAGTTTGCAACACTAGCCAACGTTAGCTAATAAATGGAGTCCGCTAATAACTAAAACAACTAAATGACCACCACAACACGGAGTCCAACACAAAGTGGACAAATTGCTAGCTAGCTAATGTAGAGAAATGTGTGTCAGCTAGCTGACCTGGTTGGTAAACTGACCGGCTTGTGGTTTGCAGGTTACTTTGTTTGTTACTTTGTATTATTCAGCTGGCTGGCTAACCTTTTCTTCGTTTCTTTGCTTGCTAACATAATGGTTTTACATTGAAAAATGATTTCACCCGCTAAGGTGATGCATAACTTAACTTCATATTAACTTCTGTAATATGACAAA